TGGGAACATTTCATGAGTCCACCAAGTGGCTCTCAAATGGATTGTAGACTAAAAGATCGGACCAAACCTCATAGTGCCAGCGAACTTAGATTAAGACCGCGGCCTCCTGTGAAACGAACAAGGGCATTACCCAGGTCACAAGCATGACGCGCAGGATGCATGGGAACCCTGTCGCTCCTTCACAGCGAGACAGTGTCCCCGTGCATAAGCACGGACTCCATCCATTGCTGCTTCTGCAGAATGTCCCTGAGGCGGTAGGAGAGGCTCATCAAATCGGAGTCAGCCTGGTGGCCATGATTCTTCCAAGACGACCTCTGCAAAGCAATTCTGTTGTCACTTGATTGTGGCCAGGCATGGCATGCTAGCTGTCTCTCTCTCTCTGCTCGCATGGCGGGCCAAGGCCTCTTTGCAAAACTACGAGCTTTGGCTTCTGAACTTGGAGACTTGGACCCTCCCTGGCGTCCCACCTCGTTGCTGCGGCTCCAGTTGTCACTGGTCATCTCCAGCTGGACCCGCGCCGGCTTGCCTCCTGAGACCTCCAACTTGCTCCGGGAGATGCACGTCTGAAACACAAAGCTGTTCCTCAGCTCCAGCATGCCTTGCGGTGCCTTGCGGTGCCTTGTGGTGCCCTCCAGGAACGTTTGGCAAACGCAACAACTTTCAACTGGAGGGCTGTTGACTTCTTTTTGACTCTAGGCAGGTGCTAGCGCCGCAAAAGCAGTCAAGCAATTTGGCACAAATGCTGACGTAGCTGAGCATCTGCACTGCTGCAATGAATTCACTTAGATCGGAGAGGTCAATCAATATCATCTGGCCATGCACCTGAAAACGAGCTTGAGGCTAGTTCTGGAGGGCTGCTTCCGAAATGCAGCTATGCGCACTATTCTGAAAACGCTTGAAATGGCACGGTTTCAAAAGCAGGGCTGCACCCCATCTGGCAGCGTGAGGCAGGCTGAACACCATATGAAACTGATCCCCAACCTGACAATAATACATATTCGTTCACACCAGCGGGAACACATGAGTTCTGTATGGATGTACAGCCCGCTGCAATACATTGACTAGGAGATGGCTGGAGTGTCAAGGCGCCTTACCATGCAGTGCGGGGCCTAAATTGATCAGCAAGTCCACGAGCACTTCCAAAAGCCTTGCCAATCCCACCGAGGAATTGCCCAAGGCCTTCTGCACGCAGTCCTGGATGCACACATGGTTCCTCTGATTCTTGCTAGCTTTGAAGAGCAGGGCTGCAGTTGGTGGGACGAATCTGATAGATTCGGAAGGCGAAGAACAAAACAATGCCTTCTATCATTGCACTCAATTGATCCCCTTCAACTTTTCAGGACGGGCTGCCACGCTCGACCCAAGACAAAACATGCTTGGTCACATGCGGCTGTAGTGGGAGGGGCCAAGCAAGTTTTGAGGAAGCCTTGGCGCTCTGGAAACCCAAGCCATCGTCGCACAGCTGATCATTTGACCAGGATTGCCGCATTCGGGTTGGGCGGAACTTTTGGAATGTCAGGCTCAGCTGACCTCTGGCAGAGGGCTACTGCTCCGTGCCAAGGGGCTGGCAAGAATTCGAAGATCATGGCCTGCTGTTGGATACCATCTGCCAGAAGGTGATTGATCAGGGCCGCCTTTTCTTTTCTGCCCAGGGTGGTCCAGGCAGATCGCCTGCCCAATGCTAGCTGGTTGCAAAGAGACCAAATCAAGACCGTGGGGCTTGGTCCCAAACAAGATTTCCTCTACGATCCTTTCTTGCTTACTCTGCACCCAGAGGGAACTCGCAAGTCCGACAATGCGACGATTCCAGCCAGGTTGGCTCCCAGCAAAATGGAGGCAACTATTTCGGACAACAACACTGCATGCCCACTGTCAACTGCATTGCGCCAAGCTGCAGGTCAATGTATCCGTCGTTGTCTTGCACGCGGCTGAGGCATGCAAGCCGCACCAACCTTGGCGAATCAGCGAGGGCAGGCTGGGAATGATCACTGTGGAATTAGACAAAGAAGTAGCATTGCAACTGGCACATGGTTGCTGTACAGAGCCCCTGGGCAACCCTCTGCGTGGTGCAAACTAGAGAATTGCTGTCAATCCTTGTCCAGGAGCCTTGATGCTGGGCAGCAGCAACTCATCATTGTATCATCCGCTTGCAACTAAGTTGGGGGATTTGAGGCATCCTGCCAATGACGGTCAAGCACCCTCAGACCGAGGCACGCAAGGTCTTCAGCAGTCGCGAAGGGTGCCAATAAAGAATCTGCGCGGGCGCGCATGTAGCCCCAGTAGACCTTGAAGAGACAAATCTTCGGACAAAAAATGACAACACAAACACAAACGCTGGTCGACTGGATGTGCGAGGGTCGGAGATATGGTTTGGTTGTTTGGATGTGCTTGATTGCTTGGCTTGTCTGTTGGTTGTGGTTTTTTGCACAGATCTCGAACAATTGCACCCTGCGCAAGGCCAAATATAAATAAATAAACACAACAAACACAACACCACAACGTCAGCAATCCAAATGGTTGAAGGAGCTTCGCAGTACCACAGGCACTAGGATACCTCGCTGATGCCGAAGAGCGTCAAACTTATGTAGGGCGCCTGTAGCCCAAAGCCATCAACCCGCAAAAACCTGCAGCTGCCCAGTGAGTGCTTGGGCTGCTGTTCAAGGTAAAACCTCCTTGCAGCCTAGGAGTTTGACGCGTCAGTCCTGGTTTCAAGCGCGCTCTTGATGGGAAAAATACCCAAATGCATCCTGTGATTCCTTTCCCTTTCAACAGAAATCGGCCGTTGAGGGCTCCTGTCGTTGCAACGTTGCAATCGAGGATGCTTGTGCTTTTGGAATTCTAAACTGCCCACATAGCTCCAGTGAGGCCCGGCGACACTGCGAGGGGTAAGCTCGGTGAGGCGCGTCAGAACCTGCATGCTGGCAATCAGGACCTGCGCATTCCTGGCAGGTTTTTCTGCTAGGAAATCTATAAGGATGATGGGTGCCAAGCTTCGCTACTCGCAAAGGCTTTGACAATGTGCTTAGATGTTCTTCACACCCAAACCAGGTCGAAACATGACGGGGCAAGCTGGGTCCCATCGCCTGTCCTGGCAATGAGGAATTTTGAGCCCCGCCCACCGCTAAGGCCGCTCATAAAGCCAAGCAGGAAGAGAATATAGCAATGGAACACCTGCTGGCCTCACGCTGATGCGGTTGCTTGTCGAAAGGGAGCTACCAGTATGGATTACGTACTTGCTGAATTCATGGCGCACAAAGCAAAACACTTGGGTGAAAGGGCAACGCATTCCCCAAGACAACATGAGTCAATGAAAAACAAAATCCGAACCGCGTTATGCAAACTCTGTACAGTCTCTGATCATGGCAGCATGCCGCAATGTGTTATGTAAATCGTGCCTGCAAAAAAAAAGAACGCAAGGGATTCAGACCTCCTCCCCAGCATACATACTCAGCATGCATACTCACATTGAGAAACTGGACAGTTTGGCTCTTGGCTTTTGGCATCCTCAGCTTGTTTGAATGGCCTCTCGATGGCCTGGTTGGATGAATTATTCAAGAAGCTTTTGTCAGCTCGCGCCCGCACCGTGCCCGAACAACAAGAGCTTGCAAAGAGAGAGATCATATGCTGGGCGGCCAAAAGAAAGGCCAACAAAAACGTCAAAACAAGCTGCCCGCTTCTCCAGAACAAGTGGCCGTGCTCCTGCACATGCTCCTGGCAGTGTTGAGACGCAGCCATAAACACAAAACTCAAAACGAAACCAGCCTATCTTTAAGCACATGGTCCTTCGAATGGAAATGAACCGCGAAGCAACTCTCACGCAGTAAGCCTGAGAAGAAGCTCTCATACTCACTTTAGGACAATGGTGCTTTTTGCCAGTTTGCTTTCTTCGGGCAACTTCATCCACAAAAAAAACAAAAACAAACTGCAGTGCTGTCGCCGCAACCGGCGGCGGTGCCGCCATTTGCCGCTGCTCCGCTGCTTGCTGCCGCTGCTGTTGGCTCAACGTCATGCCCAGTGTTACTCTACACACCGCAGTGTGTTTGAATGCCACTTACAAGGTGCGAACGGCTTCATGTCCACTGTGACACGCCCTCACGACAGCAACTTCTGACGACAGGTTGCGTTGCACCCGTCGGCAACATCCATGCCCCGGATACGACAAGCACGCCTGCTCAACGAGAGCACGCCTACTCAAACGCACGCTCAGCGCTCGCTGCGCACAAGCCTGCCAAATGACTAGCACGCCCGCTCAGCACTGCACACGCCTTCCACAACCCAGCACGCCTTGCCAGCAGCCCACAATCAAATGCTCCAAACATCTCCAAATCTTCTTCAGAACTACAAACAGCACCCGCCAAAAGCCGGTAGCCCACAAACTAGAACCAGCACGAATGTCAGCACCTCGGACAGCGCAGCCTGCCAGGGCCTGAATCACCCATCATTGTTTTCCACTAAGAACCCATAGCCCATGAAGAAAACATAACAGTAGGAAAAACAACAACAATAAGATAGTGGTACCCACAAACAGCAACAATGACAACAATAGACTAACAAATGCCAACATGATTAGATACGCAAAACAAAAAAAGCTACAAGAAAACTAGGGGTGTATCAAACAGATGCTGGAAGTAGCTAATATTCCTCTGTTTCCTGGTTTGCCGATCTCTCCGGCTTTTCTGTTTTTTTGGTTCAGGGCTCTTTTTTCGGTGCTGATAAAAAGGCAAGCCGAGATCATACATCAACTCAGTGACGTGCCTCTGGAGTTTGCTACAACCTTCACCGAATGGCTTCTACCCTGGTTAAGCTTAGGCAGGTGATTCTTCATGCGCACAGTTTTGTGGGAATCTCTTTCCCAGTGCCGGCGTCCTCTCACGTTTCGTCATGCCGAGTGAAGCTCTTGGCAGGCCTAGCGTTGCTCAATTGTTACGAGTCGGAAAGAGGATCCTTCACCAGATTTCGCACTCTTTGGGTCTTATTGGCTTTCTTTGCCATGGCTTAGATTTGTCGTCTTTCGGTATGTTCACCCCTCAAAGGGCACGAGACTGGGATGTGGTGACACAACTTTTGATGCTATGTGTCATGCGATGGCACAGCGCCCATCTGGACGCCAGCCAATTTGGCTTGTCCCATCTGAGCCGTTGCCACTGAGCTGGCGGACAAGCACAGCTTGTGCCGTGCACGGGCTGGGAAGGCGCGTTAGAGTAAACAGGAATTCCTTTCCAACAAGGGTTCTAGTTGGAACTTGTTACAACTTAAATAGAACCTAGTGAGGAAAGAAAAGCTGGTTGCTTCTTCTAATTAATCTAATTATAATTATCATTTTGAATGATATGTTCAATGGGAATTCTTTTCAGGCCTTTCACAAGGAAAAAACATGCCTACCATGTCAAAGGCCTCTGAAGGGCCTGCTCTGCATCTCCAAGGCAAGGTGGGTCCCGGAAGGGGGCACTTAGCATTGAAACACACATTTCCCCAAATAGCTAAAAGCTAGAGATTTTAACTTCCAATAAAAAGGGAAAAATGATTTGCGAGTTCGACGTTCCGCGTGCTAGGGGGCACGCAGTTTGCGGTGCCGGCGCAGGTGCAATTTGAGGCGGTGGTGATGGTGGGAGTGCACTTTTGCCAAATGAAAGGGTGCTACTCGGCTGTTTGAGGGGCTGATGACGGGTGCTAGGCGCCGTGCAGTTTGAGATGCTTGAGGCGCTGGTGCAGCGGGGGCGCATTTTTCGCGATTGCATGCAGTTTGGGGTGGTGGCGACTGCGTGGGCACAGACAGGGCGCAGGTCCTGTTTGAGGGGCTAGCGACGGTGGGGTCGACGGTGGGGTGCTAGGTGGCATGCAGGTTGGGGTGCTGGCGCAGGTGCTGCTCTGGGGTGTCTTGTTCTCCTCTGCTGTTTCTGAAGTAACACATTTCAGGGGCAAAGCAAGTTTAGATCTTGGAGATTCGTGGCCCGCATCATGATGCTACCCGTAGTAACAACCTGATGTTTCCGGCGTCATCATGCCGCCGCCTGCATTATTGTGTTTTTTGCCTGCGTCAGAGTGATGCTGCCTAGAGCCTCCTGATGCTGCCAACATCACCATGATGTTTCTCGCTGTGCTGTTTTCCGCGTCATTATGCTGCTGCCTGCATTTTCATGTTGCTCGTTTTGGCTGCTTAATGCGCCATCGTATCCTTATGTCATCATCATGATGATTTCCGCGTCACGATTCTGCCTGCGTCATTTGATGATGCCGGCATGATGATCCTGCAGCCTACGTCGTCAGAATGCGCCTTCATCATCATGATAGTGCCTGCATCATTGTGTTGCTGCGTATATCATCATGATGCTGTGGGTATGAGAGAAAGGAAAGGCTGTGGACAACCTGCCTCATTCTGGTGTTGCCGGCATCACCATGATGTTGCCTGCATCATCATGATGCTATCGGTGGCGCTATGATGTTTTCGGGGTGATCATTGTCGGCATGATCACGATGCCGGCTATTCATTTTCATGATCTGCGTCAAAATAAATGCTGACTACAACACAATGATGCTATCGGTGCTTTTATTATCAGCATCATTGTCAAGTTTTCTGCGGCGCTGTCTTTATCATCACGACGCTTTCGGCGTTATCATGGTGCTACGCGCATCATTCTGACGCTGCCGGCTTTCATCGGCCTACGTCTTGAGCCTTGAGTAGCCAATTGCGTAGCCAGCCCAGCAGCCCTTTGCATTGCGCATTTGCAACTTCGACAAAGAGAGGCCCCCTAGCAAGGCTTGGTTTGGAGCTTCGGTGACTTTGCCTTGCATCTTGCGTTGTTTTGTGTTTGGTTGAGTTGGTAGTTAGTCGTGTTTGCATTGATCTTTTTTGCTTTCCAGAGGGAGTGCGTTTGGGTGTCCAAGCTTGAGTGTGTGTGGCTTTTAACATTGGTTGGCATAGGTTGCGTGTGGCGTAAAATTTTGTTGCACTTGTTTGGATGAAGTGTACAATCCGCGACCTGTTTTACGCTATCTGGGACCTATGCTGGTGTAAACAATGTGTGTTTATACATTTAAAACACTTGAACGTGTATGTGTTATATGGACTGCGTTTGTGAAAGAAGGCACAAAAGGGAGGCATGCTTTGCTGGAAAGCGTGCCACCCTTGCGCCTGGAGCTGTGCCACGTTCGCTGGCACATTCTCGCCCTGCAGCATCTGCGCAAAATTGAAAGCCTCCTGCAGCAAAGTGTCGCGGCGACCGCTCTGTGATGGGTTCTTCAATTTTCAGCTCTTCAATGGATTGTTTGTCAGATCCGAACGCTCGAGGAACCAGCTTGCTGCCCAGCCGCATGGATGGATAGCACCGAGCGCAGGTAGTATAGCCCCTTTTCGCTCAGGGCTGTCACAGCAGGCACAACCTGGAAGCTGGCGCCCACGGTCGAGTATGCAAACTGCCAAAGGCATGATGCCAGTTTGAGATTCTCGGACACAGGGGGGCCAGCTTGATCCAACCAGGGCATTCCACAAATGTGAGAGCGATTGCAAATTTCAACTCGTGCTGCTGATTGCAACTTGATCGTGAATGTATGCAACTTCAGGCGAGGCAGTAAAACAGGTGATGTCACAATAACTTCGAATGACATTGCATCTCGTATGAATATCTGCCCAGCCGCATTCTGGGCATTCTGGACTAGGTAGAACACAGCTTTCTCTGGCCGACCCTGGCAATCGATCTGGTTCACCACAATTGGAGACTTCCCCAAGCCTGTCGGCACGCCGCAGCGAGTCAAATTCCGAAGCGGCAGGCTGGGCACGCACACACACACACACATGTATATATATATATATATATCTTTCAACATGTGCTGGTGCTGGCATGCGTGCACGGTAAGAGACAGCAGCCTGCCAAGGGGCAAACAAATTGCAGCTTTCTGCAAGTGCAAGGCCCGCCTCGAATAGCCAACAGAACCAGTGCTGCATGGATCTGGTCAGTGTCGGGCTGGATCCACTTGATCACTTTCTGGCAAGAGGCTTGGATGCAGGCGGTTTGGCAAGGACTTCGTGATGCAAAGGCGGCTGTCCAGCTTAACATGCCCCAAGGCTCCCCTAGAAAACCCTAGAAGGTGCCATCCTGCGTCAAGTTTTGTCACGGCAGCAGGAAAACATGATTCTTGCAACTCTGCGCTTTTCTCCCACTCTAGGTCGTGAACCACAAAAATATGCCTGAAGCTGCGCCCACTGGCCGTGCTGCAAGCGAGTGGAGTCGTCTGCCTGTCAAAGCAATCAAGGCTGCTTACAAGTTTGTAACGCAATGCGACACCCCTTAGCAAAATGTTTGCCTGAGAAAGGGTAAATTGCATACCGCCAGTGCACCAGGACACCACTGGCACACAACCATCAGGCCGGCCCACCACACCGGCCACCAATGGAGCACCACACCACCAGGACACTTCTGTGATACCACAGGGACAAGCCACCCCAATCTGGTCAAACATCAAGTGTGGACAGTAGAGCTCATAGCTGGATACTATGGGGGATCAAGCAAGCAAGCAAGCAAGCAAGCAAGCAAGCAAGCAAGCAAGCAAGCAAGCAAGCAAGCAAGCCAGGCAGGCAAGGCAGGCAAGGCAGGCAGGCAGGCAGGCAGGCAGGTAACAACGCAAGCGCGCGCACAGGCAATAATACAAATACACACACACCGGAGAAAACACAAAAACAAACAAACAAATAAACAAGCAAACAGACAAACCAAACAAACAAACAAACAGACAACCAAAACAAACAAACAAACAGACACACAAACAAACAAATAAACAAACAGCTAAAGAAAGAATCCAAGAAACAAAACAGGAATGACATATATATGTATATAGCAAGAACGAAAGAAAAAAGAACGAAAGAAAGACAAACAGAAAGAAAGAAAAAACAGAAACAAACAAACGAACAAGCGAGACAAACAAACCATCAAACACAACAGTCATCAATTCCATTTATTTGGAAGTCACATGTGCATGGGTGAAGCACAAAGAGCCAGGTGAGACCTTTGTGGGTGTTCTTTGCTTCTTCCTACCCCGGCCAGTGGCTGCGGCCTGTGGCTTGACCAATATATCATAGCGATCGAAGATCATGGCCAGCAAGTTGATGCAGGAAGATTCAGCCCGGTCCCTCTCCAAGACCTGCACGCGTTTTGATGGCAAGCCTTCAAACAAGGGCAAACAACGACACGCTTGGAATATGCAATGTGTTTGCCTGAAAGCAGGACCAAACTATGCCTGTCATGTCAGCTTTGAAGCGGGCGCACCAGTTTTTCCATCAAGTGTCCTCAAGTTTAAGTCTCAGCTGGCGCACGCTGCCAACGGCAAGTCACGTAGCTGCAAGGCCCAAAAACAAGCCTTTCAACTTGCCTGCTTGCAATTGCCCGCCAGCCCGGCCGGCTTGCCTTTTCAAAGAGGATGTAAGGGCCATGCTGAGGGTGTAGCTCCACAAGGTGGGTCCACAGCTCTGTCTGAAGCTGATCCTGGGGCCAAGTTGTGCACATCAATTGAATACTCCTCGCGCGAGTTGCCGTTTGAACAAACAATCGCGAAGATCGCCTTGAGGCGACCCTTGCAGCTTTAGGCAAGCGCAATGAAGGGCTTCCCATGCAACAGCATAGTGTTTAGAGACTGGGGGAATGTGGTGCACTTTTGTTTTTGAGGTTAGATATCTTAAGCAAATTGTACGCTTGCTTTGCTGAAGTGCCAGTGTTTGCTGCTCACTCAAGCCAGAGTAGCTTAGACTTAGATTCTCTTAGTTTTATCTTTTCGCCCCTGTTTGGCACTAGCATTGTGGTGAACTTCAAACAGATACCAGTATGGAACAAAAAAGCTGATTGGTTCTTATAGTTTATGTCTGCTCCTTAAAAGGAGTGAAAAAATAGAAACTCAAGGAATATGCAGTCTCAGTACAAGTTTTAAGATATACTCGTCTTAAGTATACAACTTATATTTCAGCTAGAACTCAACTCAAATCTGACTTTGAATTACAATGAAAATTGGGTTTCATTCCAAGTTGGATTTCAATTAGGACTTTAAATGGACTCTAATAAGGACACAAACTCGACGGAAAGTACACATTCCATTCCAATTGGATCGCGCGATTCTACGTGCAAGGCGTTTAAAAGGACTTTCGTCTAGAACTCAAACTGAAATAATACTTTGACTTAAGTTTTACCTAGTACGTCCTTTCCCCGTAGGCTGGCAATTGGAGTTTAAGTAGAGCTCTCATCTTAAAATCGAATTAGATTTGAGCAGGAACTCCATGCCAAGCAGCAACGCAGCGATCACGCGCACAATGGCTGGGTGGGAATAGGTGGGTGATGGGTGGGTTGGTGGGACTGTGGGAAGGGTGGGCGGGCGAGTGATCGGAGGGTGGGTGGTGGGTGGGAGCAACCCCTACAGCCAACCAGCGCAGCTGGTGATGGCGAAGCCCTAGGATAGCTCATGCGAAAAGAGTCTAGAAACACGATTCATTTGCTTTTGGTTTGCTTGGGGTGTTTGTTGTGTTGAGATGTGGTTTGGTTTGTTTGTGCTCTCGAGTTGTTTTGTGTGTTTTGGTTTGCTCCTCTTAAGGGGCAAGCAGACGTGAATAAACAACCAGATTGCCTTTCCTTATTGCAGCCTATGCAAGTTCTAATTGAATTCTACTTAGAGTCCTGCTTGGAAAGGAGTTCCTATTTAAAATCAAACCCAAGATGAGAACTCTAGTGAATTCATATCATCCAGTTCAGTGTAAGAATGCTATTCAAACCAAGTAGTAGAAACAACAGGCTGCTATATTCCGTTCGAATTATAATGAAACATCCTAAGTAGTTGGAAAGGAAATCCAGCTCGACACCTGATTCAACAGTAAGAGTAGAATTGTGTGCGACACTTAGAAAAATCAACTAGCTGTCTAGGTTCTAGATAGGTAAGAAATAAATTCTAATTAATGTTCTAATCAAATTCTTACGTGTACGCCGTGCACGCGTGCTTGCACGTGCGGCGCGCCACACATGGCATACACCCAAAGCCAATCAGACTAAGACTGCATCCTTGGCATCCACCCCAAGCCCCGCGAAATGTGATGTTTTTCGTCATAGTGCCACTCTCAGTCTCAGGGGGCTATTTTTTGAGGGTTGGCGCAATGCAGGGTGCAAGGGATGCTGGATTGCCCAGATACTTGAGATGCAGGAATGCTGGGGATGCTGGCGAAGTTGGCGAAGATGCAGAGGATGTTGGCGGGGATGCTGGCGACTGTCAGGGGCGATTTGCGCGGGATTTGCAGTGCTTTTTGAAGGCTGGGCAACGTGGCACCAGGAGCCTGTTGCAAGGCCAGGGATGTCGGGGATGTTTTGGGGTCCAAATGCTTGGTCTGGCCTGCGTGCAGGTGATGCAAGGGATGCTGGAAAAGGGGAGGAGCTTGGGGTGCAACAAAACAAATCAACGGTACACCCTACGGGTAGGGTTGCCCTCGCTCTTCGAGCTCGAAGACACACAGCGCAGCTGGATTTTGCAAGGAGGTGTTGGTGTTTGTTGTTTTTGGTTGATGTGTTTGGTTTTCTCGCGGTGTCTGAGCTTTCTTCTGCTTTTTCTGATTTGAGGTGTTGCTTGGGCTTGTCAAAATGTTGCACCTGCGTCGGTTCTTTGTTTGGCAATTGACCAGCTTGGCCGCAGGAAGGCTGCAAGCCTCAAAATGCGCACAGAGCCCACTATGTTGTGATTAGACTACTCCTGAAAAGGAAGGAAAGGCAGATCTTTTGCAAAAGAGGAGCATAGCTAGGGAAAGGAGTCCAGCCAGCGACAAAACTGGAGCGGACAGCCCTGCAATCAACGCATGAACAATTGACACACTTCGCCACCACCGGCGCTGCTGTCGCCAAAGCGCCCAGCATAACCGCCCGGCCGACTAAGCAAGCACGCAAGCAAACAACCTAATTACCCAACAACCAAGACCACACGGACACACATAACATACGTCATCATGAACATGACATCACTATTCTATTATCAATCAAATGCAGAAAGCAAAGGTGACACTGCCCCAGTTGCCAGGACACGCTTGCAGTGAGTCACCAACTCTACATGCTAATGCCTCAAAACTCGGCAAACCCTGCTTTTGTTCTAGTTCAACTTGGCCATTCTGCACTTTGGGTTTAGGCTCGTCCTGTGGATTGGTTACGCTGATGCGCCAGCCAATGCTGAACCTATTTTTAGCCCTTAGTTAGTTGGCCAATTGGGCCCATTTCAACCCAACCCATCCGAGCACTACTTCCAAGTTGCAAGCTGCAGCTGTTCTCCCGACAGCCCTGCGAGGTACTCCGCAAGGCTGGCATGAGAAGACGACCTGCAAGGCAAAGCCAGGACCCAAACCGATAGCAGCATAGCATGTTGGCGAGGGGGGACCACAGGACCCAACCAATACGTAGACCATGCCTTGAAATTAAGACCAAGCCAATGCTTCGCTCAGCCATGTCTCTCCTAGCGAGGCTTGGCCAAAGGGATGGTCCACAAAAAGGAGTCATCTCGCCCAAGCGAAGTCAGAAGCGAAGCAGAAAGGAGCGGGCGAGTGAGAGAGAAAGAGAGAGCGAGAGAGAGCGAGAGAGAGAGAGAGAGAAAGAAAGCGCGAGAGAGAGAGAGAGAGAGCGGGAGAGAGAGAGAGAGAGCGAGAGAGAGAGAGAGAGCGGGAGAGAGAGAGAGAGAGCGACCAAGACGCGAGAGCGAGAGCGAAAGAGAGAGAGAGAGAGAGAGAGTGAGACAGAGCGAGAGAGAGAGCGAGAGAGAGAGAGAGAGCGAGACGAGAGAGCGAGAGAGAGAGAGAGAGAGAGCGAGAAAGAGAGAGCGAGAGAGAGAGAGAGAGCAAGAGAATGAGAGAGCGAGAGAGGGAGAGAGAGAGAGAGAGAGAAAAAGAGAGAGGCAGAGAGAAAGGAAGAGAAAGAGAGAGAGAGAGAGCAAGCGAAAGAGAGAGGGAGAGACGGAGAGAGCGAGAGAGATGGCTTTCCTCTTTCCAAGTGTTTCCGCTCCTTTCAAGTAATTATCGGTATGTTTTTGTTGAAGACCAACCGTTGGAAAGGTTGAGGACATGTCTCTTGGTTTCTTCATCTTCACCCCATGTGCAAAGCAGCTTGATCTCAGCCAGGGCTTGAGCATCTAGAAATTAACACCTTCGGAGGGAGCAGCGACCAACATGAGTCCTCCCTTCTTGGCCTGTTAAGTGACAACCCCCCAACCACTCTACGATGCATTTAGTTCGCTGGCGTGGGCGCCTAAAGCATCACAGGATCAGAGTTGGTTGCTGCCACCCTGGTCAAACTACGTGTCGGCACTCCTTTGCATTGCGGCTAATCTCTGCATCCCTGCTCTGTCTGAATAATAACTATCTTACATATCTAATAATTTGCTGCCAACTGCAAAACTTCCACAAAAGAAACTCATTTCTTTCGTGCCAGGTGAACCTTCAAGCCAAGGCGCGAGGAATTGCTTTGTGGCGAAGACTCAATTGACTCGATGTTCATTTCGTAGGTCTCCCTCGACTTGGTCTCTTCCACCAGATTGCCGAGATTGATATTTTGCAGGCGTGTCTTGGGATCAGGAAATAGCTCCTGGAGCCGCCATACCGATCCAGGCATAAGCCAGACCTCTGAAGCCCAGTGTTCCAAATACATGACTTACCACGCAGCCAGCCGGCCAACAAGAACCTTTATATCGATCGCGATCAAAAAGACACAAATTGCAGGGTTCTCCCCCCTTTGGATCCCTTTGGATCAGCGTGGCCTAGGCTGCCTAGCTGGGCCATCCAGGACTGACCAGGAAGCTCACTCGTTCCAAGTAGCATGCCGTGCGTGAATGCTGAAAAAAAAGGTACGCCTCGTCTTTCACGGCCCGTGTCATCCTGGAAAACACAATGCGGTCTAGTTTCAACCTGGTCCACTTGGTGGAAAAGTGCATCGACACCTGCCTCAGGCTTTCAGGGATACGTTCATCTGGTAAGCAGGCGTGCAGCGCTGAGCGGGCGCGCTTCTTGCCATTTGGCAGGCGTGCGCGCAGTGCCGAGTGTTACAGGGTCGCGAAGGGGGAGGCGCACCAGAAACAACACACTCCTGCCTGGTACATCTTTGTGCGCTTGCAGCAGATCTCCGCCTTATCCAACTGCTGCTCGTGCCGCGGCTTGCTGCTAAACTTCTTCATGCTTTCTGTAAACGCCTGCGCCCAAGCTGCACTCGAAGTTGCACTTTCTTCCAGGAACTTCTACCATTGTCATGTTCGACGACTGTCAGCTTTCGCATTGTGGCATTTTGGCTTGGCAGGCGGGGCTTCATTTATTTGGAAGCCGTGAGCAGCCCTCCAAACGGCATCCCAGGTTGCCTCCCAACCGAACAACCAATATGCCCAACCCGAACCAAAGACGGGTCCCAAAGTAGCAACCCGTTCGCATGCCTTGGCGTACTCACAGAACATCGACGCGCAGCTGGGGGAGTACTGAAGGCACGTGCACAAGTCCTGAAAGCAATGGGCCAAGCAGCTTTCCGAGGCCTTTCGGCGCTTTGAAGGTTGGATTGCCACCTAACCACAAAGGGCAACCAAACAAAAGGGTCAAAAGCTCGAATCCACAACACATTTTTGATTTGTGACTCCTGGCCGTCCAAGCTCAAGACCTCTGCGAAGGTGGTGGCTGTCAGGGTGCAGTGGTGCACTAGGCTCTCAGCATAGAGCGCCAACTCCTCAAACCACTCCTGGCCTGAAGGGCCACAGGGAAAAACAGAGCAGCACCTGCATTTTTTTCTTGTTTAAGCTCTTTCAACGTAGCTTCTTTTTCTCCAACCGCTGAAAGCTATTGGGGCCCTGCCCAGATAGGCCCTGGGGTTTGGGGCAGCGGGCTAGGGTTGCGGGAGGGCTTTCCAGGGGTTCCGCGGCTGGGCATACGCCTGAGCTTGGGGGAGGGCAGGGAATACATCGGGAAAGGAGCAAGGAGAATTCAGAGATCTGGAAAAGTCAGTCAGCCCTTTGCACAATGCTCACGTCCAATCGACACTAGGTGTGGACCCACAACCCTTTCAAGTGCTCGTGCCGAGTTTCTGCCAATAGTGTTGTCGTCGGCTGCCATACAACAAGACTAAGCAGTCAAACAAAACATACTTCTGCAAACAAAGGCAACAAACCATGTACCATTCAAAGACCTTGCAGGTGACTAACGCAATTCTTGAGAACAAGCTGGGCCTGTCAATCAAAGGAGGACCCATCCTCCCACAACCGCCCGTTGCGGTGCCTAAAACTTGACGCTCCACCTGCGGTTGGCTGTCTGCTTGGCGGTGTAAGAACTTGCCCGTGGCTGTGATGTACATGGATGTGGCCACAGCGCCTGCATTGAAGATGTTCTCCTGGAATGGACGTGGTTTGAGTGAGACGGCGACACCGACTGAAATACTATGCAGCAAAGCCGTGGCTCATTGGCAACGAGGCGGGAATCGGCTGGTGCAAGAACGCTTCCATCTGATGTTCTGTTTGACTTTGTTCTCATCTTTTGCGACCATCACCCTGAATTGATCTCACGATGCGGGACCTGCTGGTCGTGCTGAATCAGTCATTTGCCCCCCATCAACCATCATCGTGGGTCCTTCGTCTCAAAGACGTGCTTCTGCATTTTGGTGCAAATGGTTGCAAAGGCGTCTGGAAACGCAACCTGCCGCAAAGCTCACCCCCCCCCCCCCACAGCGTCCTCACAGAGCTCATTTGCCAAAACACGCTAAAACGAATCTTAAAAAGGGCGCGCCAAAAAAACTGATTCATTTGGCTCTGCGTTGGCCCCTTAGCTTTTGCTTGTAAGCCTTCGTGAAGTGCATAACGTGCACAGCACATCCAGCACAACCAACCTGAACACCACACCATCAAATGTCCCTTCTTGGCATATGCTTTTGCTTGCACAAGGTTTCCGCACAAACGATTGCGTGATTGGCCTGGGGGTGGGTGGGTGGGGAAATGGAAGCGCTCGGGCTCTGATTGCGCGTTGACCCATGTTCTGTTGGGTTGAGCTGCGCAAGAACTCAAGACAGTGTTATCCACTGTAGGCGTTGTCCTTTGTTGTTTGAGATGACGGTCCGTGTGCAGCGGCTTTGGGTCAGCAGATCTTTTGATCCACTCGCGCAAGTGACTGGCAAAGCACTCAGGTAGCATTTCTCCTAGACAGCGCAAGGATTCGAACAAACAGCCCAGCGAGCGGGGCGCTGCCGCCAGACCACACAATTGATGATCTGGCATTGGCATTTTCAATGCAGACCGCTTGTCGCACCAAAAGTGCGGGCCAGCTTTCCCTCCGTATGTTTTTGACTGGGAATTTCTGGGCGCAGCCCAGCTGCGAATTGCTTGAGGGAGGGTAGGTGCGAAGGTCGCAGCAAGAAATCCTTTGTTCGGTCTGCCTGCCTCGCTCCTAGGCCCCCGCCTTCGTGAGCCTGAAAATTGGCACGGACTCCAGGAACTGCCCACGCTGGCCCGCGTAGAGCTCAGTTTGCAAGGTCAATGAGATCAGCGTTGGGTCGAAGGTCACTGGAGATATCTTGTCCATCTTGTACTCCACAAACTTCATGATGCGCGACACCAGCTCGAAAGAAGCATCCTGCTCAGCCCGGGTTCCTTTGAGATGAGATGCGCTTTCTGCAGTGGCTGCCCTTGCCCAAAGAACAGTTGTCAATCATTTTGCCGCCGCTATCCAAGCAATACACATCTGATGCCGTGTTGCTTTTGCTGGATAGCCCGCTGGCAGAAGTTCAATAGACTCACCAACTTTTAAAGAATCGAACAGGACCGACATGCCCTCTGCAGTCTCTTGTTTGTCAAGCTGTACCGCTCCCATTCGGAATAGACGCCTCGAGAATGGCTCCCAAAATGTGGCATGCAAAGCCAAGTGCGGCTATTGAAAGCTACAAGTAGGGGGAGCAAGGAGCTAGTTATTACTTAGGTAGGGAAACCAAGGCAAAGGATTGCACTTGAAGCCAAGTATTTTTGACCCCCTTTGCAACTGCTTGTCGACAAAAGCCCTTTTGGTCCCTGCATTCCCTGGTTTTTTGGGTCCCTCCCCCCTTTTTTTTCCGGCTCGTATCCTGGCTGCTCAAATACACCCGGATCTCCCGACGCTGGCGGCTTCGAGCTTCGTTCATGGCACGGAGCTCTGCCAAAGTCCCCGAGATCTTCGAGACCGCAGAGCCGATCCTGGGAGACAGCTAATTGAGCCACGATTCCACGATCACAAAATAGGGATTCCCGTGAAAGACGTGGGACTTGTAAATCTCCTGGTTTGTGGGATAACTTCTGTCAGTCACGCATATGCTCCTCCCAACTTGCCTTAGACCGCTGGATATTTTGGCCGAACCTCAAGTGGCAGCAAGCAACCACTAACAATCAGCCAAACAGGATGTCAACGAGCCGAACATCCAAGTAACCTGTCAACCGAAGGCAATGCTCTTTTTGGTGATCTCGGAAACTCTTGAACAAGCAACGAGCCTGGTGGTTTCAAACATCGCCTTTTGGGCAAACCAGAGGTTTGATCCCATGACAGTGGGGCGATCTTTCAAGGGACATCGAACTCTGTGCCAGTGCCATCCCATCCCCTGGAAAAGTATGCTCAACACACCAGCAATAGATTCAATAGATCCTTCACAGGGGATTCCCACATTCCGAACTGAACACCAAGCAGTCAATACACAGGCGTCGATCTATTTCCAGCACGTTACGGAAGCGGGCCAAGCCGCACAACCAGGGTGAAAATGTTGTTCATGATATCCACGATGCGCTCCACAGCGCTATCCGGCGCGATGGTGGGCGGAGCCGGTGAATTCATTACCTCAGCGATACTTCAAGACGACAACCAAGCAAAGCCAGCTCATTCTTGTGCGCTTGCCACCTACCCTGCCTCTGAGCTCATGCGCAGTGCTATGTCCTCTATGCTCCGGAAGCACAATGGGTAGTAGGGTTTGGCCCAGTTGCTCCGTAGGCTCTTTCAAAAATATTGCTGCGGCTTGTGGCCAAGGTGCGTAGCGCAAAGAGTGCACGTACTGAGTGCCTGCATCCAGGCCTGTGGCCCCTGCTAGGTGGATCCAGCTTGTCCGTCCGTCCGCCTAGCAGCTAACTTTCACGCTGAATTGTTCAAATGCGCCTGTTTGGCGGATTTTGCAAAACCAAGTACACCACATCTGAAATCTGAGAAAACCGTCCTTTGACTGGTTCTACAACGAGGGTCTAGTTCGTGCGAGCCTGAGTTGGGCTGAGCACATTAATGACAGAACACAAGAAGCGGCCAAGCTTCATTCGTTTATCTAAAGTGGCCGGTGTTCGGCCGACGGTTGCTGGCAGCGCATGAGTAAGTTGGTTTGAGCCTAAATGGAAGGGGCCCGTCCAAGAAAACTCACGTGAATGGACTGTTACCTGGGAATGCCGCCAGGCTTCATTGGGGCATGCCTGCCAAAATGCAATGAATCAGGAAGGGCTGTCGGGTTAGGTCCTGAACCTGGCTTGGCGTACTACCCGTCAATGCGAACTGGAGCGAGCACAGTGTGGTTCGCATACGAGCTTGAGCTACCCAAGCGTGCTTGACACACTTGCACTCAAAGTCCTGATTTGCAAGGCGGAGCTGCCAAGTATACGGTACTTCGCATACATGACTTGGCTTTGAACAGTTGAATATTTGCACTGGACATGTATTCCTCAAGTCCTACACTTGTACTCGACCGTTCTTATATTCGAGCTTGAGCTACCAAGATCACAAGATACTCTGAGAACTAGACTTGTACTTAACAATTGCTGTTTGCAAGCTTGACCCAAGGTGTACTTGACATATTGCACTTGCACTGAAAAGTTGCAATTTAGGTATATGGAGTGAAACATTGATAACACACCTGAGGTTCAAAGAAGAAATAGCAGGGTTACTATGCAACCCCAAATGGTGCTATGATGCTGGCGGTGTTTGGTCGTTGATACTAGCGTGCACATGTTTTAGGCTCGCCGTGCAGCTATGACTGTGCGAACACCAAAACAAACCATACCTGAAGAGAACTAAAAGCAACTAAGTGGGTTGTGTAGCTACGGCCCATTCTCAAAGCACACTCATTGGGGCATATAGTGTCAGCAAATGGCGTAGCCAGCTTAAGGGAGATTGAGACACAATGCGGCAGCCCCCTTGCACGTTCATGCGAGCTTGATACTCAACACCTGCACCAGCTTTGATGCCGTTCGCAAACATGGACCAACCTCGGTATGCTCTGTTGGTACTGGCCTGTGTGGCAGAGCCCACCCAGAACCAGAAGCACGTCACCATGTGCGCCACCAACATGGCAGCCACTGCTGAGTTGAAAATGGCGATGACCTGATCTCGGCATTGAAGAGTCAAACAGCCACATCCAATTAGCCTTCACACTGAACTCCCCTGCAATCCAACTGCAGCGTTTGCGTTTGTGTGTGTGTGTGTGCTCAGGGGTTGGGTGGATGGTTGGGCTGAAACACCTCAATCAGCAAAGCTGCGAGCATGATCCACTGTCGACCGGTTGAGGCAGCCATTTCTTGGATGATTTCGTCCTGCAAGCATCACCGAGTCTCAAACATTCGTTTCTTAGAGGTGCATCGTGAAACATCACAATGTTCCTATTCAATGTTTCTACTAAGTTCTCTTGCAGTTTTCCCAAGTGCCCTTGATGTGCTGACACAGCCTGCGGCAAACGCACCCCTGAACATGTTTCCGCCCTCCATCTTCCACCACTGCAACTTGCTTCATGGAATCAGCCTGTCACCCCCCCACAACCTGTCCAGCTTGGTCATCTTCAGTAAGCGCAGCAAGCGGAAGGCCCGGATGATACGACCAAAACGCAGAAAGGCAAGGTCTGTGTCGAAGTCCTGCCACATTGGCGCCCAGTCGCACGCTCAAGCCATCTACTCGCAGAACTGCCAGCCCCATTTTGTCGAAACCAAAGCTTGCTTTCCCGAGTTGCCCAGCGTCTCTCGCTCTCTCTCAAATCCTCTCTTTTTCCAGGACTTCCTTTTCCTCGACTGGCCAAAACATCCTTTGATTGGCGCAGGGCACATTCGGACGACCGCTGGCTACAAATTAGGACGCTGTTTCCATCCTAGCGCCCTCCCTGATTCCAACTCATGGCAGTTGTTCTGGCCCGGCCCAAGCCATTGCTTGCCTGCCTGCGCAACATTCAGGTAGTCTAGGGAGACCAGGGAGATGTCCAGCAGTAGCCAAGAACGCATGTAGCGAGAGAGTATGGCTTCGCGCCGATGGACCAGAAGGCCTTTGATGTACACCGCCGTGTTCAGGTTCACCAAAACGTCCAAGGTCCAGAAAACGAGGCTGCTCCAGATGGAACAAAACAGCAGGGTGCTGGCAGCATTATCGAGGCCCAATCTCCAATCCCACGCAATTGAGATTGGAAGAAGAAGCGCGTCACAAAGTAGCAAAACCAAACTCACCAAGTCCTCGGCTCATGACCCCCGCTGATTGAAAGCACATGAAAAGGCATCCACGTCAGGTCACCAATGCTCTACATTGTTATTGGCCTCTCATTTACTATGCTGTCACCCAAATGGCGTTAAGTCGTTCTTCATGCGCCTTGCTTGTGCATTGGGGCTTCACTGTCATGGCCAGCCATCTGTGCAGCAATGGTTGCCGACAAGGATCCCAGCAAATGCGGAACCTGCCCTCCGGATGAAACGGCCTGGACAGCAAGGGGTGCAGCGTGAAATCCAGTGGGCCATGCTGCCCCAAGATTCACCCGCAAAGTCTTCATGGTCATGTTATGCAACCTGCAACTGCTTTGCCCTGCAAGTGAACAAACATGACTCTCAGGCCTGATTCGAACCGCAACCACAGCGGTTGCGAAACCCTGCAATCGGGCGGGACCATTCTAGTGCAATTTCACAGTCTTGGGCTTTTGGATGTGAACGGTTTGCCCATCCCAAACGTTCTTCGATTGCAGTCGAACCGAGTGAGCTCCCCAACTCCCCCAGAAGCGTCGCGCTCCTCCGCTACCCTTCAGCTGTCTCCCGCACTGTCACGAATCGCGCCCTGGGTCTTAGGAATCACCGTGGCCTCCTTGACGGCTCTTTGCGACTCAGCACCAAGGTGGTCAAGCGCCCCGCTCCGTACCGTGAGATTCCGCCTTGCTCCACGCTTTCTGCACGCCCACCAGAACCATTCAGATTCCCGCCGCAGCATTCTGTCGAACCAGACCATGCTCACGTTCAAACAGGCTGCTGCAGCGCTCAGGCCGTGGGATCGGCCAGGACACTTGTGCGAGATGGTTTAACTGCCAGGAGCTGGCGCATTTCACGCGGACTGGACCAACCGAGACCCCGGGCGCTGCAAGCTCAAAGCGCAGCAGCTTCTTTGTGTGCGGAGGCAGGCATGCCAAATGCCATGGTGAAGCGGAGGTTGTGGTGGACACAGCGGAGGAGTAGAGGGTGCTCGGGCTCGCGAAGGCTCAACGACCCACGACAGAGAAGCGCGCTTCCCTGCCACGCAAGTTGCCCACGCTTGCCCAAGCAAGGAGAGTAAGCTCGGTGCTCTCCGGGGCTGGCCCAAGATACTGGCGCAAAGCAAGCGGGGGTGCAACTATGAGGAAGATCGATCGGGTAAGAGTGTTGGAGAAAAACGACCTTCTGAGCTAGATTGGGCTGGACGGGCAGTTGACGGCCCTGCTGGGCTGCGATGATCTGGCCTGAAGATCGGACTGAGCTAGTCTTGTGGCGCCTTTCTGGGCTGGACTGGCCACTTGCCTGAGCCGGGCTCGCCTAAGCTATCATTGCTGGTGGCTTGCTGTCTCCTCAGGAAGGTCGATTCGGCAACTGCATGGGGTCAATTGTGCATGCGGGCAGGCGACATTTTTCTTGGGGGGTCCTCAGAACTACTGAGAACTGAGTTTTCAGGTCTTGCCACCAGTCGGACTAAGGCATGCCCCAACATGCCCTTGACGAAGGCGAGGATGCGCCCTCGATCTGCGAACAAGGCACGCCCAACAAGTTGACATCCCCAGGGCAACAAGGGATCTTCATCCTCACGCTCTGCAGATAAACCCCACTGCCCAAACATATTTTACACAAAGCAAACTGCAGGCTTTCAATACGGAAAAGAGATTGTCATCGTTGGCGCCTGGCGCCTTTCGATTCTCCTCTTTGCCCAAGAGATGCATTTCAGAACTCAAGCTTCTGCCGTTTCAGGTCCCTTGTCGCGCTGTGACATTGCATTAGAATGGCCCCAGCTTGTTGCAGCGTTTCACTCTCATTTCGGGTCGACAAGGGCCCTTGAGCCGCTTCTCCGTGGCTTGAGCTCATCCGGCCTCAGCCTGCTCTTGCTAGAGTCGCGCGACTCGCTGTAGTCCGAGGGATTCAACGACCAGGTCTTCGGTTGAGCTGGCACGGACCTGACACTGAACATGGCTGCAAGGCTGCAGGCTTGCCACTCGTTTCGCCCCGCTACCCCTTCTGAACACTGTGCGCATGTTCTTTTTGGGGCCAATTCCCAGCTCTGAACCCAGCCATCCA